GCTCGCGGAATATCGTCTTCGATTAATTCTTTCACCATCGAACTGTTTTTATTCCGGAAAGTTAGCATTAAACTGAAATTTTTTATTCACAAAAATAATTTGTATAAATAATATCTTATTTTGAGAAGAAAATCTAATACTCATATATACACTTGGAGTTAATTCTGGAAAAAATTAATTACAAGATGTTTCATCTGATTTTACTATTTTGATTATGGAGAAAGAATTAATTTCACGCACTTTAAAATCATATCAAACGCGCGTCGTTACGAAATTGGATTCTCAAATAGTATATCTCGAAAAGTTTGATAAAAGTTAATTTCGTTTGTTCATTTTTACTCTCTTCGCTGTAAATATCGGTATACAAGTGTGTGTAACACACATGCAGTGATTCATAAAAATATATATTCCTTGTCAATTTTTGACTTCAAATTTCTAAAAGAGTGTACAAATTCTTTAATAAATTTTATAAGATATTCAAAGTCCAGATACACACACATAAATTACATAAAATAATTATATGAAATATAAGTTATATTTATAAAAAATATTTATTTTTGCTTTTAGAAAAATATCAATTGTTTGAAGTCAGAAATTAAGCAATGAATAATTTTCTGATTTACTGTATGCGCGCTGATACTAGTACTTAGAGATTATTTCGTCCTTCCGAAAGATCAATCACGTCGCTTAGAGCACGTGGAAAATATTGGCAATAGAAAACCACCCAATTACCGCGTGATGTGGTCCCGTGAAACTGCTGTGCCATTTTTTATGTCATGACATTTTCTCTTTTTTTTTTTTTTCATTTGTTCCGATACTTGAGCACATAAAATGCGATCAAGACGAAAAGATCGAGAAGTAGGACGATTTGCAAGTTTTCTTTTTTTCTGAGTTTTATTATTGCTTTCGGCGTGCGAGCGCATCCAAGCATCATTGATCATCGCTACTCGATGATCAATGACGCTTTTAATTATATCGCTAACAATTCCTCATAGTTTTGCTGGAAAAAAATGAAGGATAAAAAATGTGAAACTTTACAAAAATGTCATATCAAATAAAAAAATTTTAGAAAATACGAAGAAAATGTATTTTAAATATAATAATCGATGTATAAATCTAAAAGAAAAGAAATTTGGGAAAAATTGAAATGCGTTGCGATGCACCAAGTGCCATTCGCGAAAGTGCCTCATAACAAGGCGGCGCCGCGCCGTATTAAATTATAATGTACGCGCTCGCACGCGTTAAAATGCGGATTGTACAGTTTAGTAATTAATGTGATTAGCGAGTAAAACAATACAAATATTATAATTTACCTGCGTTGGGCACGGAGCTGTACCGATAGGAGGAAAGAAAAGCGTTTGACGCGTGGATTGAGAAAAAAAAAGATCTCGGCTCTGTATGTTGCATTAACGTTTCCCGTACTTTGCGTTTTGCAAATCCACTATAAGTTTCTCGAACAAACTAGTCATTGTATTATACGCAGAAGAGCAAAAGACTCGCTATGATTATCGAAAAAAAGATATAGAGAGAGAGGTAGAGATTTTTCATAAGCGAGCCGTTGTTGTGTATTTTTACTTTTTATCGTGCGTGTAATTAACAGCGCGGCTCAGGTGAATACCACTATTCCTAGTTTTGTAAAGAAAGTAAACTACTACTGCAAGAAGAAATAGAGATATTGCCTATATATATAGAGAGATATTTTATATGAAATGAATTATGTGGATTTCAAATTTTAAACTCTCATGTGTTTTATATATATATATATCCTTGTCTTTTCCGTTTCCCACATGTGCCTTCTCTAGCGTACTTATACATATAATTATAAGCTAAGAAAAGAATTAATAAATTTTATTTGTGGTATAAAACTTACAAAATATTTATATTTTTAAAATTTTTATCGACATAAAATTTTATTTCATTACATTCTCAATTTTTTAGTTGCTTCCAAGCTTGTTATTGAATGAAGAGTGTTATATAATCTTGCCGAATTTTGATTTTACACTTTAGATCTGTCGTACATATAAGTTTAATATTATAACATCGATATGGAGATTCGTATAATCACGCGCTTTGTCTTTTGACAAGAAAACGTGGTTCTCATTCTATGGAAGACGGATATCATTAAAGATAAAAAAAAAAAATCTTTCAACAAACATTGAAACGCGCGGGCGCACTTCATCTCTTGGAGCCAATGATCGGTCGTTTGTCAGAGGCCTCGGGGGCCTTTGTCGATAAAAGTAATTGTCAGTGTTTGTGCTCGGTTCGAAACGAATCGATTGAATCCGTCTCGAGATTCGACGTACGGCCGGCCAAGTCCATATTTCGTTGCTCACATGTATACATGTTGATGTAATAATATACAAAAATAGCAGAAAGTTTACGAGGCCGCGATAAATAAATCTATCGGGAGTTTCGACAAGATATTTATATCAATGATATTTATAGCAACGATATATATATATATCATTTTCATTGAGACATATGTCTGCAATTACGGTCATTGTCGCTTGCGCAATTTGTATCGCCGAGAGAAAAACAGAAAAACAATAGTTACAATGGCAAAAAGAATCTGTTTCTCGCAGTTTACGCGCTCTATATCTTCTGAGTACCGCCACATATTCATTGTTACAATTCTACGTGGGTGGTCCGAATCGATCATGCGAATAGAGAAAATTCCAGATCTTTTTATCGAAGCAAGACTTATCAATCTTTTAGACTGCCAGATATTTATGCGAAGAAATGCTTCTTAAACCAGTCTCGGTGTAGCGGTACATCCTATCGTGAAACGGATAAATCGGCAAAAATGGAAGATCTTTAATTATATTTTACAACTACAGTATAATGAGTATATTACGAATATATTTGTACAACAGCTATATCTTTCTGCAGCGGTGAATATATAATCTTTAAGTTAAGCTTCTGTAAAGTTAATCACAATCACATGTCACTTACACAACGTGTGTGTTAACCGCGTCTTCCGGTTATGACAGTTATAGCTCACCTCGCCAATACATCTCATCATGCGAGAGTTAATCGATATACGTTGGCTCGCGTGCGTTGGCGTGAATGCGCGCGGATTATCCGGCAGGTTATCCAATTTCTTCGCACAATGAAGAATCGAGAGATCGTTCCGCGTCGCGCTCGCACACGAGAGAATATTTCTTCCTCTCTTTCTCTCTCTCTCTCCCTCTCTCCCTTTCTCTCTTTCCGTCGCGTGTTCATTCATACGTCCAAGCGTGTTCGCGCCGGCACAAAGCTCTTTTAGCGGAACAAACAACATATGGCGAGTAAACGCGCGCACTGGAAATGCGTTCAATTCATTTCATTCGGTCAAAACGGGCTACCTGCAACGCGTATTAAATCCCACGCGCCTCTAGCACACGCATTGCCGATTCAATCGGCCGTGGTGGCTCCCAATCGGAGCTTTTTGTTTGGCCGACTCGTCCATATGGATGCGTGCCACGATCTCGCTCGCCCTTCCGACACTGTCGCATCGGTAATATATGGGTCGACGTGCAAGTTAAACACGCGTTTAATCGACGTTTCAGGGTGATCGATACGTGCGAGCAACATGTGTTTTATTTAGTTATCTAAATATCGATTAAACGTATAATATCGTAGGAGAAGATATTATTACATAATCGATGCGCTATTTTATCGTTTTATTTTAAATATAATAATCTGGATAGAGACAATTATTAATGGTAAATTATAATGAATAATGTTGAATTCAAGCTGATCTTGGTATTTGCGAATATTCAAATCTGACGATTTTACATTTATGGTCTCGTGTTGTATAGTTAATCGCCGTTATGGCTGTAATTATGACGGCCCATTGAACGGTGTCCTTTGGCTCGGCACGACAGGTGCACGTGCTATTTTCGAGTACCGGCCCTCGCAGAGGCTGCGCTGTATGTACACACTCGCACAGAAATGCATGCACAAGCAAGAAAGTGTGGAAGCAAACGCTACCTTGGCCGCTAGGCTTTTATGGCGACCGGCCTGATCGAACAGGTGCGTCGAGACGGATATACACACATATAAAATGCCGGGGTAAAAGGTTCCATTATTCGTTTGTGTATGGCACGCCGAGGCTTTGCGCTGTGCAAAGACTTTTGCGAGAGAAAAGCGGCTGCGCGGTGACAAAAGGTCGCAACGTTGTACGGGCCCCAAGAGCCGAGAATGGAACTTTAGCTACGAGGTTTTCGGGCACAAAACGAAGGGGGTCGAGGCCGATCGTCACCGATAAAAATTCCTTCTTGCCTTGTATAACGATTTGACGACTTCGGTTATCTATTGTTCATTGATATATTGACTTTTATAGATGAAGCTTTATTTAAAAAAAAAAAAAAAAACCGATAATGGATAATATTCCACGAATTATACAATGTGCTTAATAAAAATACAATTTCTCTTATATATTTAGTTTTTAATTTGCATTTATTATTTATGTTTTTTTCTCATTATTTATAAGAAGCAATGCAGCATATAATCTAGATATTTCTGCATGAAATTTCGAGCAATAACGGTCTCACGATCTCTGACATGGTTGCTGAAGAGCCGAGTTGACCCCGTATAAAACTAATCGTTCCTTCAGAATGTACAGCACACCTGACCAACGAGCGAGAGTCTTTCATCTCTTCCCGGAAGACTCTCGTCTTGCAACCCTTTACTCCGTGGTGGTACGTGTCCCATTGTGTCAGGATCGCCGCTGCCGGTAACACCAGGTGTGTTAGTACCCGTGCGTTTCTTCCTCGAGAAGCATGATCGTCAATGATGCGGCGATCCGTGCACAAATTATATATAGTCGTTGCCCTTATGAAATTCTCAATCGTCTGGATAAATATTGAACGATCAAAATATAATGTGTAGTTTTTAGTTAATTCTTATCTTGCCACACGTGATATTCCGCTAATATTGACATTATGCTAAATTGCTAATGTATTATTAATGAATTGCATTTTTTTAACTTAT